CAGTAGTATTCACTTTTATAAGCACTCTTACTTGTGTAGCAGATTTGAGTTAATTAAGGTGACAATTTTACCCATGATCGTGAACTCTGTATTTGATATTCCAGAGAAGTGTGGTAGAACAGATCCAATAGCGAAGAGCTTAAGAGCTTGAATGCTGGGGTCAGCCAGGCAAGCAGGGTACTAGTTCCAGTGTCTATGTCACTTAACTGCTGTGTGATTTTGGTTTTTTAGCTTCTTCCTGGTCCCTCTCTGCCACAGTTTTTAAAGGAATCCCTTGTAGTTTGAAAACAAGGACATATGCCCTAAGGACATATGAAAGAAATTCTGGTCCTTAAGGAGTTGTCTAGAACTATACTGTCCAGTACAGTAGCCACTGACCACATGGGGCTCTTGAGATGTGGCGGTCTGAATTGAGATGTGCCGTACGTGTAAAATGCACACTGGCTTTTGAACACTGTGTTGGAAGAAAAGAATGGTTAAATCCCATTAAGTTTTTAATATTCTTTACAGTTGAAATGACAGTATTTTGGATGTTAGGTTAAATACGACTGTACTTCAATAGTTTGTGGAAAAATAAAATTAAAGGATAATACAGTCCTTTCATGAACTTTTTGAAGACCCCTCATACAATATATTAATAATTTCATCTGTTTCTTTTCACTTCTTAAAATGTGAACACCAGGAGAGTTTAAAGTTATGTATGTGGCTCACATTATGTTTCTATTGGAGAGCACTGCTCTCGAAGGTCTGGAATATCCAGAAGGTCGAATGCTGTTGTATTATAACATGGTTGCTCAACCTTTTATTTGCTCTAATAAATAAAACACCTTTCACATTTCACATAAGATATAAAACAAATTCTATCAATTGCAAGTTTAGAGTAAAACAAATTGTAAGTTAGTAAGTTGTACTTAAACATTAATTCTAGCAGAATATACTGAGTGTGCCAGCTACAGCTGAACGGAGCCTACTCCCAGTGTTAATTTGCTCAGCAGTGCATTCAAAAGAGTTCTGATGCTAGCAGTGCCTTTAAAATAAT